CCTCGGTGTCCCCCTGTGCACTGTGTCCTGCTCCCCATGTCCTCGGTGTCCCCCTGTGTGCTGTGTCCTGCTCCCCCATGTCCTCGGTGTCCCCCTGTGCACTGTGTCCTGCTCCCCATGTCCTCGGTGTCCCCCTGTGCACTGTGTCCTGCTCCCCATGTCCTCGGTGTCCCCCTGTGTGCCGTGTCCTGCTCCCCCATGTCCTCGGCGTCCCCCTGTGTGCTGTGTCCTGCTCCCCCATGTCCTCGGCGTCCCCCCGTGCGCCGTGTCCTCGGTGTCCCCCTGTGTGCCACGTCCTGCCCCACCATGTCCTGCTTCCAGCCCTGCTCTCACTTTGGCAAGGTGGAGGCAGGCGGGCGGCTCCCAGCAGTCCTCAGCTGCAACGCAACCACGAGGGGTGGCCCTGGGAGCTGAGCAGATTTCGACTCAACTGCCCTTTCCCTCCCCGCCCTCTCCCCACCAGCCTGGTACCTTGAGAATCCTGCGTCCCTGGATGCCCAGGGGATCCTGGTTGATTTTGATCATGAGCGGATTCTGCAGGATGTCCATGTTCTGGGGGGAGATGGTACGAAGGTCCGTGGACATGAAGAGGGGGGCTGCCAGGATCGTCCACAGGGCCATCTGGGACCGGGCTTGCTCGAAGCTGAGGCCAAAGTTCCCAACGAGCAGCTGGGGCAGAGAAGAGGAGTGGTCAGCCCTGCACTTTCTAGGAGGTGCACGTGGGCACCAACCCCCGACTGGCACCACGGCAAGGGCAGCCAGGAAATGGGGAAGGATGGCCTCGTGTGGGGGCCGACCCAGCACAGCCGCGTGGCCCAGCGGCCACGCAAGCCACGTTGCATCTGAGCTCAGCCTTTTCCCCATCAAGAAGTATGTAGGGGGGATCCTATGTGTTGTGGCTGCATCACAAGTTATTCGGATGATCAAGTGAGATTCTGTTGCCAAAAAGTGTACAAATTAGAACATGCCAGTCAAGAAGTATGTCCAGGGTGGCAGCGTGGGAAAGCAGACCCGGGCAGGGTTTGTGCACCTGCCACTGGTCACCCGCCTGCCCTGGGCACTGCAGAATACCAACCAATCCACAGTCAGGACACAAACAACGAACACTAATGCAACATAGGCTTAGTGCAAGCCCTTTAAGTGTTAGAACCTATTAGGCTCCTGTGGCCTGATAGAACCATTAGGTTTTCAATTGACAAAACCAAGGCCCAGACAAAATTAAGCAACCTGCCCAAGCTAAGTGGCAGAGCTGGAGCCAAACTGGCAAAGCAGGGCAACTTCTGCCCCTCCAGGCTGCCCCCGCCACCTGGCTTAGTATTTGCAATGACAGTAATCACCACTGGTAGTAAGAATAGATAAAAACCATCAAACTGTAAGATGAACCGGCGGGAACGTTAGGACCGTGAGCTAGGACAGGTGGGAAGCAAAGCTGAAGCCTGCTGTGCCTGTGCAGGGCGAGGCAGGGCAGGGGTTGGCAGCAGGACAGCGGGGACGGGGCAGGCCAGACGCTGGGAGGGGTGAGGGAGTGGGCGTGGTGGCCACCTTTGTCCTGCGGACAGACAGCGTTGCATGTCAGGGAGGGTCACGACCCAAGTTCTCACACGGGGGCTGGGGAAGCGGCAGCATCGCCTGGGGAGGTGGTCGACAATGGGCGTTCCCAGGCCCTGGCGCTGAACATTCTGTTGCCCAGGGAGGGGTGGGGCCCCGGAATGCACCAGGAAGCAAGCTTCTAAGGCGAGCCTCCTGTGTGGGGCGCATTTCAGAACTGCTGACCCAGAGCCTGGCGGTGAGTATCCAGGAAGTGAGCACAGGGCAGCGGGGGTGGTGGGCGTGGGGACGTCCCCCTCCGTGCTGGTACCATGTCTGGGTCGTTCCAGCGTCCGGGGCCAGCCACTGGCTGCAGTATGTCCTGGTGCTTCACGAACCAGTCCAGGATGGAGAGCACGTCCCTCCACGAGTCTTGCATGTCGTCGTAGTTGCGCCAGAGGTTGCAGATGTCGGCCAGAAGACTGTAGTTCACCTGCGCGTCGGGAAGGCCGGATTCAGGACCAGAGCCACTCGCCGCTGCCCGCTGGGGCCGGGGCCGGGGCCGGGGCGGCTCGGCAGGACAGGGGGCGTGGGAACGGGCAGCGAGCAGGCCCTTGAGCCCGTTCAGGAGGATGATGGCTTCTGAGAGGGTGGTGCTGCTCCGGGGCTCCCAGGCCTCGTCTGCACACCTGTGCCCGAAGCCCACCTGCCCTGCAGCCGGGGTCCACCCAAGTGCAGGCCTAGGCTGATGCCCCCACCCCTCCTCTCAGTGACAGCGCCACCGTCTGCGCCCTTCTCCCTCAGGTCGTCTTAGCATAAAATGCTGTCAGGGGCCCGGCAAGGTACCCACAGGCTCCTGAGGCTTGGCCACTGGCACCGGCTGCTGTGCGCTGGCACCTGCGGGTCCCAGCCCTGCAGCCGCCTGACCGGGCTCCTTCTTCGGAGCCTGGCGGTGAAGGCCCCTCCCCTCGGGGTACTCGTGACTCCCTCTCTGCACACCCCCACATCAGCACGTGGGCCACTGTGCTGAGAGGCCTGGCAGCCACTCGGGAGCTGTGGAAAGCGCTGGTGGGCGGGCGCCCTGTGGAACCTACCTTGGGGGGGAGGCCCCCTTCATAGGCTGGCCAGCTGCAGGAGAAGGCGATGGGGCGGCCAGTGGCGTTCAGCGCAGCGGCCATCTTGGGGTACCCTGGAGAGAGCCCAAGCCTTGTTTTGGGACTGGGAAGGCACAGGAGGCACTCCGGGGCTTCAGCCCAAACCGAGGCTACAAAGAGGCCTCTGCCCTGCACATGGGGGAGCCACGGGGCCACCCTATCTTCAGGGAGCCTGGAAGTCACAGTCCCTCCAGTCCCTGGGAAAGGAGGAGCGCGAAACACCCCTGCAAGGGGCTGCGTGGATGGGCCACGCTCCGCCCGGCGGGCATGTTGGGCCATTCACAGTCACTCATGGTCACTCCGCCCGGTGGGCATGCTGGGCCATTCACAGTCACTCATGGTCACTCCGACTGGCAGGCGTGCTGGGCCGCTTACGGTCACCCCGGCCAGCTGCACAGACAGGCCACATTCATGGTCACCCCGGCCGGCAGGTGTGCTAGCCATTCACAGTCACTCATGGTCACCCCCAGCTGGCTGCTGAGACGGGCCACTCTCACGGTCACTCACGGTCACCTCAGCCAGCGGGTGTGCTGGGCCATTCTCACGGTCACTCATGGTCACTCACAGTCACCCCAGTCGGCTGCGCAGATGGGCTACTCTCATGGTCACCCCAGCTGGCCGCCAGCTCACCCAGGGCTCGTTCCTCGGAGGTCGAGAAGCAGCCGTCGAGCTTCAGCATGTCCACCTTCCAGCTGGCGAAGGTCTGGGCGTCCAGATCCACCTTGTCTAGAGTGGTGCCCGGGTAGCCCATGCACGTCAAGTTGCCCATGTCCTCGTAGATGCCCAGCTTGAGGCCCAGGGAGTGAGCCTGGCGGGGTCAAGGACATGGCAGGCTTAGGATCGTCAGGAGCCCCCGCACAGGCACGTCTGTCCAGGCCCCTTAAAACCTTCCATGGAGGGGCTGGCACTGTGGCTTAGTAGGTTAAGTGTGCGCCTGCATCCCCTGTGGGCGCCACTTCAAGTCCCGGATACTCCATTTCCCATCCCGCTCCCTGCTAATGCGCCTGGGAAAGCAGCAGAGACTGGCCCGAGTGCTTGGGCCCCTGCACCCACGTGGGAGACCTGGAGGAAGCTCCTGGCTCCTGGCTTCAGATCGGCCCGGCTCTGGCTGTTGCAGCCATCTGGGGAGTGAACCAGCCGATGGAAGACATTTCTCTCTGTCTCTCCCTCTCTCTGCTTGTAACCCTTCCTCTCAAATAAATAAATAAATAAATAAGCCTTCCGTGGCTTTTTCGGGCCAAAGGAGGCAGTCCAGGCCTAGTGGCCACCCCCCCCCCGCCAGTGCCCGCGCCCCCCGCGAGCTCTTCTCGTCCCTGTGCCTGTGCCTCTGCCATGCCCTCGGCCGCAAAGGCCACCTCTCTGGGATCAGCTCAGGAGCTGCCCGCTCTGGGGAAGTGTGGTCCAGGCAGCGTGGCTGAAGGGTGCTCGGGGCAGGGCGGGGGTGGCGCTCACGTAGTCAGCCAGGAAGCCAATGCCGTGGGGGAAGCGCTTGGAGTCGGGCACGAGGCGGCCTTCGGCATCACGTCCGCCAATCCAGCAGTCATCGATGTTGAGGTATACGTAGCCCAGGTCCCGCCACCCATCCTGTGCCAGCCGGTCAGCCATTTCCATGAAGAGCCGCTCACTAGGGAGGGGCAGGAGTAGGGCAGTGCAGACGCCCAGCCGGGCTGGCCCTCCCCCTCACCTCCACTCCTTCCTGACTGTGAATCTGCACTACAGCAACCGTGACCCAGGGGCCAGCGCTGTGGCACAGTAGGTTAAACCTCCGCCTGCAGTGCCAGCATCCCATATGGGCGCCAGTTCGAGACCCGGCTGCTCTACTTCCGATCCAGGTCCCCGAGATGGCCTGGGAAAGCAGTGGAAGATGGCCCAAGTCCTTGGGCCCCTGCACCTGCATGGGAGACCTGGAAGAAGCTCCTGCCTCCTGGCTTCAAACTGGCACAGCTCTAGCCATTGCAGCCATTTGGGGAGTGAACCAGCAGATGGAAGACCTCTCTCCTTGTCTCTCCCTCTCTCCATCTATAACTCTGCCTCTCAAATAAATAAATGAATCTTACAAAGAAAAGAAACCATGAGCTTGCTGTGAGCGGAAGACTTAAGGTCCTAAAGTCAAGGACTGCCGGGGGTTGCGTCACGCGCCACAAGCAAGGTGGGCTGGAAGGAGTCTGGCGCTGAGTACAAGGGGCAGGGGAAGCGTGTGAGGCCTGGGCTGGCCCTTTAGGTTATCTCCCTCGGATTATCTCAGGAGCTGGGTTCACCAACAGGTCCCTGCCATGGGCCTGACAGCCCCCACGGAGGCCCCCGGCAGTTCACGAGGGTAGCTGGCAGGCACCTCTGAAGTCACTTCCGCCTGGGGCCCCTCCAGGTCTCTGACTCCGCCCTGTGTTCTGGCTGACCTCCTCTCTGGCTAAGGCTTCCAGGTGGGTGCGGGCCTTGCTCACCTGATGCAGTTCTCTGGGTCCTCGTCACAGTCAATGTTGCAGCGGAAGCGCTCCCAGGCCAGCCAGCCCATGGGCGGCGTCCGCAGGAGTCCATTCTCCAACAGGAGCCCCTGGCCCACCAGGGCCAGCAAGAGCACTGCGGTGCAGACAGGGGAGTGACTGTGAGTGCTCCCCACAGCCCAGCCCTCATCCCACCGCCCACGCGTGGCCGAGCCTTGTGCTCCTGGGTGGAGGCGCGCAGGGGTGTGTGGGGGGGTGGGGCCCGCCTCTCCCTGCAGCAGCTGTCTAGTCCTGCGCAGTGAGGGGGGCGGGAGGGAAGGAGCCTGGGGCGAGGCGAGGTCTTTGAAGCCTGGCTTCCCACTTGCCATTGCCACAGCAGGGCTGGAGTTAGGAAAACCGATGCCTGAGGTTCCGTCCTCCTGGTTCCTGGACCAGCGCCCTCCCAGCCACACGCAGAACGCCCACGGCCAGACTCCGGCTCTCCAGTCCAGGGCTCATGATTTCCCACCACAGATCCTCAAGAGGCCTCAGGAGGGCTTGCAAGGTCCGCAGGTGGGACCGACCCCCCATCCTGCCCACCCGGGCGAGTCCCTTCTTTCAAAAGCCGCCGTGTCCATGAGTTGCATGGAGTCATTGTGCGGCCTTCCCAGAGCTGGCCTCGCACGGGCTGACACCACCCAGGGCAGGGCCTCTGCACTTCAGGGAGAAGGGGCGACCAAGGAAGAGGCGTTTGAAGAACTGATTCCTGGGCGGGACACCTCCCCTCGCGACCCAGCTCCGACCAAGAGAGGAACAGTCTCCCCACAAACCCACTCTGGGGAAGAAGGGCGGGCAGCTACGGGCTGGCGCCCCCAACATGGCCCCCCCGCCCCCACCCCTGCCCACGTAGGTACCTGTTCTCAGCAACATGGCTCTAAGCAGATCCGCTCCGTTTTCTCGACCTCTCTATGTTGAACTCTGGAAGCTGAGACACGTTAGGCGAGGGCTGGGTGTGGATCGCAGCCTCGGCCCCCGAGCCGCCCCAGTCCATCCCAGCTCCGCGGCGCGAGGAGCCCCGAGCGCCTAAGGGGCGGCCCTCAGTGGGACAGCGACCGCCCGGGAAGAACGGGGGCGCGGGGCCAGCACCAGGCTCCGTCCGGTCTCCCTCTGGGTCCAGGTTCCCGTGCCCTGCCCCCGAGGACGGCTGGTCCAGCGCCCCAGGGGCCCCAACGCGGGGAGCCCCCCACCCCGAGCCCCGCACCCGCCTCGCGACGCACCCACACCGGCCACCAGCTCCTGCCCCTCCGAGCCACCGGCCGCTCCAGTCACCTGATTCGTCCGCTGCGTTCTGGTGGGGGCGGGGCCTTCCGGCCGCAACCCTTCCGGCGCCATCTATCAGAACCGCCTAGCAACGCCGTGCCCCGCCCCCATGGGCCGGTACTTCCCGACGCCCCACCCCCGCAGCCTAGGCCCCGCCCACTGGAGCTCCAGTCCTGCGCGTTCCCGAGGCCCACACGAGCCGGGAGGGCTCTGGGACGTGTGTGCGGCGTGATGCGGTTCCTGCAGGGGCTGCGCCTGTGCCCTCGGTGGGGGCCACCAGGGCAGGGAGGGTGCCCGACACAGGTTGGGGCTCAGTTAGCTGTGCAGTGAATACCAGCCCAGGACTTTATTACAGGAAAGGAGGGAATGTCCCCAAGCATGGCCCTTAGTGGGTGGGGGGAAGAAATCATTCAAAGACGAATAGGCTCTGGAGAGAGGGTGGATGGGATAAAACGAACCAGGTGGAGGGTGGAGGACACGGCTCTCGCCAAGGGACACTCAAGGGACTGCTCACCCAGGCCCCCGGCACATCCCTCCCTCCCAGCTACTAGGTGTCGCCCGCTGCTCTGGGCCCCGCTGGAATTCAGGCACAGCGGGCAGGGAAGGGGCTCAGGCCAAAACCCTGGGGTCCTCTTTGCCTCCTCTTTCTTCCTCCCCACTCCCCCTCCAGTCTCTGGGCACTCCCTTAAAATCCCGAGTCTGGACACCCCCCACTGCTCTGGCTGCCCCCCCGCCCCCCAGGATCCCCCTATGGTCCTGCTTTCGCCTGCAGTTTTTCTCTCCAGGCTTAAGGGACCCTGGGAAACACTCCTTACTCAAACCCTGTGATGTCTGCTCCTCTCAGCCCAGAATAACAGCCCCCGTTCACGTACACAGCCTTACCCCACATTTCTGATCCCATTCCCCACCCACTCAGGCCTCCCAGCCACACCAACCACCATAGGCCACAGGGCCTTTGCACCTGCTGTTCTCCCCCCTTTCCTTCCAGTGTTTGTCAGATGAGGGAGGCCTCCACCACCACACTGAAAAATTGCACGCTCCCCGCCCTGTGACTCCACCTCTCCCTTACCCCCTGGTTTCCACCCTCCTTGCCTATCCACCTGTTACACAGATGAAGGAAATTTAGCGAACAGGAAATAAAGGCGGGGTGTAGAGAAGCTTACTGTTGTGCTTAGTGCTCTGGTGAAGACCCCCCCCCCACACACACCCAGAGAGGTTCCAGGGTGGGCTCCCCGCACCACACGCAGGCCCTGGGAGGGGAGTGGCACTGGGTGCGGGTGGGGGCGGCTTTCCAGGCTGCAGATCTGCAAAGGCAACAGCTGCGAGGCGGGAACCCACAAGGTCTTGGGTGCTCTCAGGGCCTCTGTGAAACCGCCGGCGGCTGCCCGCCTTGTGCGTGCCTGCAGCCTGCACCTCGGGCCCACGCGTGGACCCACGCGAGGCAGAGCCTGGGGGCCCAGGAACAGAAATGGACAGGAGCTGAGGGGGTCGGCGGGGCCTCCCTGGCGGGTGGGTGTAGGAGCCCGCCTTTAGGAAGCGCCGGGGGCGAGGCGGTGCCTGGCGTGTGCGGCCGGGAGAGGGAGGCCCCCGCAGGACAGAGAGGACTCCGGGCGGTGGGCTGGGCGCCAGGCTCGCCGACACCCCGAGGCCGGGCCCCGGGTTCGAGGCCGCCGCTCCGCGGACCCGCTCTGTGACTCCGGCAGGTCCCCGCCCTCTCGGGCCTCAGTTTCCCTCTGGTGTGGACCCCGAAGCGGCTTCGCGGATTCGGAGGCCTGGTGAGGACCGCGCAGGGAGGGGCGGGGGCGGTAACCCGAGCTGCGCGGGCGGGGTCTCCGTTCCCGCGGCCACGTTCGCGGCCCGGGCGGAGGCGCGGGGTCCCCAGCCGGATCGCCCCGGGGCGCGCGGCCGCAGCCCACCCTGCCGGTTGAGCTCCCGGGCTTCGGCGCGCTCGGCGGCGGGAGGTGAGAGCGGGCCCGGCGGGCTGCGGGGGAGCCTTGGCCGCGGGGACGTGGCGGGAACCGCCCGGTGCGCCGGCGGGGAAACCGAGGCGGTAGCCCGCACCCGGGGTCTGCGGCGGGAGCCAGGAAGAACCCGACCGCGGCGACCCCAGTCTCAAGGCAACGGCCGGGGCTGAGGTCCCGCGCGGCGACCACGGGCTGGGCGGTCCCACGTCCCCAGGGCTCTGCTCCTCCGACAAAAGAATCCGGGAAGGCGCGGCGCGCGGGCGGGAGGCCGGGGAGCTGTCCCGGCCCGCAGCCGTGGCGGTGCGGGCAGCAGCGCCCGACCCCAGGCCGGTTGCCGGCAGCGGAGACAGCTCCGGGGCCGGGCTGGGGACGCGCGTGGAGGAGTCCTCGGCCGGATTCTGCACCCTCCTCCTCCTCCTCCTCGCGCTTCCCGGGCCGCCCAGCCTGGACGGCCCCTCCCCCACCCGGGCCCTGCTCCCTGCCTTGTCCTTGTCACCAGCGCTGCATGGTCAATGCAGGCATTGGCTGGTTCACTACTTTTGTTGGCTTACAGACTGTCCCCCTCTTCCCCCGCTAGAACGTGGGTGCCAGGAGGGAGGCGGACTCGGTTTCTTCCAGGGCTGTAGTCCCCGGGATTCAACCAATGCTTCCTGAGGGTTTCCATGCCAGATACTGGGGGGCGACACGCCCCACCCCCACCCCCGCCCCCAGCCAAGCCAGGTCCTCCCTAGAGCTTCTGGGGCTTGCAGCGGCACTGCAGGCACCAAGCAGATCACTGTGGGACACAGGAAGCCAAGTGAGGTCAGGTGACCTTAGATCAGCCCCCTTGGTGGTCAGGCCTTGGGCCCCTTAAAGGTCACAGATAAAGCTGTGATGGCATCTAACTCTGATCTAACCTCAGGGGCAGGGAGCTGAGGGTTGAGGGCTGAAGGTCAAGACAATGGCTCAAGGCTGCTTGGTCTGGGAGGAAGGGTAGGGGCATTATCAGGGATCCGGGAGGACCTCCTCGAGGAGATTCCACGGGGCCTCAGCGATGGAGTAGGAGTTTTTGTCCTCTGGGAGAATTGTTTTCCAGTCTCCCTGGGCACCACTTGGCCCAGGGACTGAGCTGTGTGGCCAGACAAGAGGCCTGCACCCTCCTGCCGTGAGCTCTGCTGCCAAGTGGGTCATGGCCAGGACACCCCTAGAAGGAGTGAGGCAATTAGGGGGTGCGGCTGTGATCCTGGGCAGGTCTTCGCCGTCCTGGGTGCGGGGCCCCTGTGTTGGTCCTTCCAAGCCATCCCTGTGCCTCACCCATGGTTACAGAGCCCACACTGGGTGGGGGTGGGGATGCGGTGCCTGCCTTGCCCTGCCTCTTCCAGTCTGAAAGCTGCAAATCTTAGAGAACAATCATGCCCCACCCAAACAACAGCCAGCAGAGGCCCAGGAGGCTCCTGGGGCCCTGGGCTTGTCTTCGGAGTGGGAGCTGAGAGGCCCCAGGACAGGGGCAGGTTGGAGCACAGGGGTTTCTGGGGTTTGCAGTCTGCTTTCGCCCAGCTGGGACCCGCCGCTTTGGATTATAAAGGCCTGGCCAGGCCCTGCCGTGCGTCCAGCGGCAGGCTCCGTCCCTGTGAGTCCTCTGATGCCCAGCTACTGGCACAATCCTCCTGGTCCCTTTGCGAGGAAGGGCAGGAAAGGCGAGCCCATTGCCCGGAGGACACAGCCTGTGAGCAGGGCCCGCAGGGCTCTTCCCCACGGGGGCGCCAGCGCCACTTCGTTCTCTAACACCCTGCCACCCCTCTCGCTCGCAGTTCTCGTGGGAGCCATGAAGCTGAATGAGAGGAGCGTGGCCCACTACGCTCTGAGCGACTCTCCTGCTGACCAGACGGGATTCCTGCGCACCTGGGGGGGCCCGGGGGCACCCCCCACCCCCAGTGGCACGGGCCGAAGATGCTGGTTTGTCCTCAAGGGCAACCTGTTGTTCTCCTTCGAGAGCCGGGAGGGCCGGGCACCGCTGAGCCTGGTGGTGCTGGAGGGCTGCACCGTGGAGCTGGCCGAGGCGCCTGTGCCGGAGGAGTTTGCCTTCGCCATCCGCTTCGATGCCCCGGGAGTGCGGCCACATGTGCTGGCGGCAGATGGGCCGGCAGCCCAGGAGGCCTGGGTGAAGGCGCTGTCCCGGGCCAGCTTTGGCTACATGCGCCTGGTGGTGCGTGAGCTGGAGAGCCAGCTGCAGGCTGCCCGCCAGAGCCTGGCCCTGCATCGCTGCCAGTCCCGGAGAGCCGCAGCCAGCCGTGGCAAGCCCCAGGCCCCCGACCACGGGTCTCTGGGCCTACAGAATGGCCACGTCCTCTCCAGGGACTGCAGCCCCAGGGGCTCCGTGGGAGAAGGGGGCAGCAGGCCGGGAGGGTGTGGCTTGGCTGAGTGGGAGCCGCAGGGCTGCTCTGCCAGCCTCCTCCTGGGCAGAGGGCAGAGCCCTGTCTCCCCTGAGACCTCCTGCTTCTCGACCCTGCATGACTGGTATGGCCAGGAGATCACGGAGCTGCGGCGAGGGTGGCAGCGGCTGGCCCGCAGGAGCCGGCCGGACCGCGAGGAGCAAGACAGGCCCTGAGCCGGGGCCCCGGGAGCTCAGCCCTGGGCCTGCGGGTCAGGACACCGGGCCTGTGCTTCTTCAGGAGTTCAATGTTTGCTCATTCCCAACCTTGCTCCGGGGGACACTCCTCTTTCTCCCCGCTTCGAGGCCTTCTGCCCGTTCCACCTGCTGCCTTGGGCCTGGAGAGGACCCAAGAATCGTTGACTTCCGCCTCTGTCTCCCGAGACCCAGGGAGAGAGCCGAGAGGTGGCTGCTGATGCAAGGAGGGACGTGGGGAATGTTCCACGGCCACAGGCTGCCCTGCCTTTGACTGACACGCCACAATCTGGAGCCACAAGTCCCGCCACGCCGGGGCTGGTGTGCACTGCCCTACCGGGGGCGGGCTGCCATACTGGCTCCAGGGCCTGGCATTGTCAAGGAAACGGATTTCTTGTGTCCTAGGGGTTTCTGGGGTCCAGCTCTTCCTGAGAGGGGTGGGAAGACTGGGCACGGAACCCAGGACAGTTCTGGGTTCTGCTCAGGCAGTGTGTGTGGGCAGGGGGCAGCCTCTGGGTGGCGGCCCTGTCCGGAGATGGTAGTAGACGGTGCCTCGAGGTGGGCTGCCTGCACTCCGTGCTCAGCAGCCAGCTTTCGAGCCTCCAAGGGGGAGGTTAAAGCAGAGGTGGAGACAGCGTGGCTCCCTGGGGAGCTCCAGTTTCTTACTTTGCTTCTTGGTGCTGGGCACTCTAGGAGCTTGGATGCGGGATTCTCGGCACCCGGTGATAAATTCTTCTGTCTGTCTGGGCTCCCATAGAGGTGTGCTTGCTCTCTAAGCTGCTCCTGACACCACCTGGGAAGTCTCCGCGTCCTGCCTGTCACCCAGGGTGGACCTGCCACTCCCGGCAGCCTGGAGCCAAGAATTTGCCAAGGAGTGTGCAGGCCGGCAGTGGCTGGCTGCTCGAGACTCACACGAGGTCTGTGGCTGACCCAGCCCTGAACGGGAGCCCCACAGCCCCGCTGCACTTAGCTGATCCAGGTCTTGGCTACCTGTCTTATTGTTACCGTGGCTTTTATAAGATGACAACGCTATGCAGTATTATTATTATCATTATTTTCGGTTATTGCAGTCACTGCTTTTACAGATGACGAGGGGAAGTGACCAGGTCCGGGGCCGGGTTTCATGCGGGCGCAGCCTCCACCAGGCTCGTTTCCAGCCCTGTACGGCAGCCCCACTGCCCACTGCACCTGTTCTATACACAATACCACAGGCCTTTGCTGCTTCCGTACTGTTACAGTGTTTTTTATACGATCAAAACTTTTCAGTAAAGTTTTCTCCATTGGTACTCATTTCGGCTCCGGAAGTTTATCCCAACAGTCGTCTGTTGTGCCAGGCCCGGGGGGTCCCGGGTGCGGGAACAAGGACACGGAGGCTCCACACGCACCCCCGGGCCTGCCGGGCCCGCCCACCAGGGCCGGGGCGGCGGCCTCGTGACGTCACCACGCCGGGCGGTGGCCTCGTGGCGTCACTCCTACCGCAGCAGGAACTGGGGCACTGCGCAAGTGTGAGGGCAGGGCTTCCCGAGCGGTGCCCAGGCTTCGCGAGGCCTGCGGCTGCGTCCTGCCTGAGGGCGGCTCCGGCCGGGCGGTGGGTCTGGGTGCCCGGCGAGGGGCGGAGCTGGGCCATGGCGTCTGCGGCGGCTCGCCGGCTGGCGTTGGCCCCCCTCCGATCTGGGGCTCTCCGGAGCGGACCGAGTTTGAGGAAAGGCGGCGATGCCTCTGCCGTACGGGGCGGCTCTGGTCGGAGCCTGGTACCTTCGAGGTCAGTCATCGTTACCCGCAGCGGCGCCATTTTGCCTAAGCCGGTGAAAGTGAGTGTCTGCCTGGAGGCGGGGCGAAGGGGCCGTGGCCAATCACTGTGGGGAGTGCCTTTGGGTCGACGCTGATGGACAGGAGCAGAGGCCAGTCATATGATCGCCTTAGACGGGAAGGCGGGCCGAGGACAAATGTTTGTGCTAATGGGTTGCTAATTTTGACAAGTGGGAGAAATGGTAGGTTTGAGCTGGGTGCGGGGGGCCGCTAGTTGCACTAGCTTTATCGCGAGGGGTGCGGCGCCAGTCTCGGCTTTGTGCAACCTTTGCCGTCCGCCTCGTAATCGATGGGCTGAAATAAGGAATTGGACTTTGAAGGGCACATCAGGCACACCTCACCTTTTTATGAGTTTGACCTAGTGTTTAACTCACGTGATTTCCAGTCTTGAGAGGTGTGTAGGGAATTATTACAATCACTTATTCAAAGAGTCAGAAGCCAGAGCGACAGGGTTCCTTGCTGGCACACCCCTCGCCAGCTCCCCAGTGCTGTAACATGACTCAGTGAACACTCCGTGTATCAGACGTACAAGTTTACAGTTTGCTGCCTGGTGTAGAAGTTAAACACATTTTTAAAAAGATGTATTTTTTTTTAAGGGGAGCGTTGACAGAGAAACAGTAGCTGGATGGATCTTCCATTTGCTGGTTCACTCCCCAAATGACCTCAACCGACCGGATTGGTCCTGGCCTAAACCAGGAGTCCGGAACTCCCATTTGGATCTCCCATGTGGGTGGCAGGGGCCCAGCCATCTTCCACTGCTTTCCCAGGCGCATTAGCAGGGAGTTGGATTGAAAGTGGATGCTGGCACTGCAGGTAGCATGTTGGCTACAACCACAACCTGGGCCCAACAAATCCTTTTAAGGCCAGCCTGGCCTATGCTAACTCACACAATGGACTGCAAAGTGGTTTCACAGCAAAGAGCGGGAAGGTGCAGGGTCCATGCTGGGAAAGAGCTGCCTTGTAAAAAGGCACAGCTCAGAGTTTGTTTGTTTGTTTGTTTGTTTGTTTGTTTTGAGTTCCAGGAAATGTGAGACGAAATGTTGAGACTGCACTGACACACCCCAGCTGGTCTAAAGAGGCCTGTGAAGACAGGCCTACTTTTCAGACACCCCTGTTCCTAAAAATTTGATGTGGTACAATCAATTTTTAAAAAGATTTTAGGGGCCAGCGCTGTGGCTCATTGGGTTAATGCCCTGGTGTGAAGCACCGGCATCCCATATGGGCGCCAGTTCTAGTCCCAGCTGCTCTTCTTCCAATCCAGCTCTCTGCTGTGGCCTGGGAGAGCAGTAAAAGATGGCCCAAGTCCTTGGACCCCTGCACCCACGTGGGAGACCCAGAAAAAGCTCCTGGCTCCTGGCTTCGAATCGGTGCAGCTCTGGCCATTGCGGCCATCTGGGGAGTGAACCAGCGGATGGAAGACCTCTCTCTCTCTCTCTCTCTCTCTCTCTGCTTCTCCTCTATCTGTGTAACTGTGACTTTTGAATAAATAAATAAATCTTTAAAAATGATTTTATTATTTATTTATTTGAAAGGCAGAGTTAGAGAGAGAGATTGTCTGTCTGCTGTTTTATTCCCTGAAAGGCCTGCAACAGCTGGATCTGGGCCAGGCAGAAGCCAGGATCCGGGAGCTTCATCCAGGTCTTCTATGTGGGTGCGGGGGCCCAAGGACTTGGGTCATCTGCACGTTAGCAGGGAGCTGGATCGGAAGTGAGGCAGCAGGGACTTGAACCGGTGTCCATATGGGATACCGACACTGCAGGCAGTGGCTTAACCTGCTGTGCCACAGTGCCCTGTGACATCCATCTCAGGCATCAGACAACCTGTTACCTGATCAGTTGTACGGAGCTTCTGTAGGTAGTCTAGAACTTTCTCACCTGCAGGTCTGGGATGCAGGTCATTAGGAGGTTGTGTCCTAATTCTTGGACATCTGGACTGCCTTGCACTTTTCTTTCCGGTATCCGTTTCGATGGCCGTTAACCATCACGGTATCTCCCGTTCCAGTTATTTTTTTACTTTGCACTTGCCCAAGGGCTTTAGCATCAAGTTGCTTGTGATGGGTCTGGGACCACGGGAGGCCGAGCCTTGTGTGGTCCTGCCAGCCTGGCTCTGGCGCTCTCAGCCGCCACTCTGACCCTCTGCAGATGTCCTTTGGCCTGCTCCGCGTCTTCTCCATCGTGATCCCCTTTCTCTACGTCGGGACGCTCATCAGCAAGAACTTCGCGGCTCTACTTGAGGAGCACGACATTTTTGTCCCGGAGGATGATGATGATGATGACTAACAGGTAAGACTTCCCGGGGCCGGGAGCAGGAAGTGGGGAGAAGCACTGACCTGAGCGGCGCAGTCCGGCTTGGCTGGCAGGAGCTTTAACAAACTGACTCACTCGGTGGCCAGTAGTGTTACCTGGCCATGTCCCTGTGTCGGATGAGTGACTGACTTGCAGATTCACGGGCATCTCTGATGTACTCTCATTCAATCAACCACACTTTTTTTTTTTTTTAAAGATTTATTTTATTTATATGAAAGAGTTTCAGAGAAAGAAGGAGAGACAGAGAGAGACCAAGTGTGTGTGCTTCCATCTGCTAGGTCACTCCCTAAATGGCTGTAACGGCTGGAGCTGGGCCAGGACTCAAATTGGTGCTCATGGGATGCCGGCCTAACAGCTTAACTTGCTGCAACACAATGCGGCCCCCTCCCCACATTTTCTTGACAATGTGCCTTATATACCCGCCAGCAGCAGCTTAATTTCGACAGTTCCATACTGACATCCAGAAACGTGGGGCCAGGTGCTGTGGTGCAGCAGGTAAAGCCACCACTTGCATGCTGGTATCCCAGATGGGCACCAGCAGCTGCTCCACTTCCAATCCAGCTCCCTGCTAATGTGCCTGGGAAAGCAGCAGATGGGCCAAGTGCTTGGGCCCCTGCACCCACCTGGGAGACCTGGAAGAAGCTCCTGGCTTCCAATCCATCCACCTCCAGCCGTTGTGGCTATTTGGAGAGTGAATCAGCAGATGGAAGCTCTCTCTCTCTGCTTCTCTGTAACTCTAAATAATTTATAAATATTTAATAATAAAAATCTAGAAACTGTATGTCGTAACCACTGTCAGCTCCAGTTACCAACACCGCACCACCACTTGGCTTATATACTACCCACAAACCCTCCAGGAGTCTACCCTCTTCCCATTCAGCTTTTTTTTAAAATACACTTATTTCCGTTTATTTATATATTTTATTTATTTGCTTATTTATGAGAGAGAGAGAGAGAGAGGAAGAGACAGAGCAAGAGAGCTCTTCCGTCCACTGCTCACTCCCCAGATGGTCACATGGCCAGACCTGGGTCTGTCTGAAGCTTCTTTTGGGTCTCCCATGTGGGTGCAGGGCCCAAGGACTTGGACCGTCCTCTGCTGTTTCTCAGGCACATTAGTGGGGAGCTGGATTGGAAGTGGAGCAGCCGGAACTCAGATGGGTACCCACATGGGTATCAGAGCCATTGGATTTACCCACTGTGCCACAGTGTCGTCTAACCCCCCATTCAGCTTTCTTGTGTTGACTTCCTGTGCCCAACATGGCGGCATTGCTGCTGTAGAGAAGGCCCACCCGAACCCTCAGCCTGGTAGGCAAGGCTTGCCACGACCTGGTCACACAGCTTATCCCAGTCTCTTCCAAATCTCCAAGCACAGCCATATCCCCGGCAGTCACCATTTCTCTCTTTCTTTCTGTCTTTCTTTCTGTCTGTCTTTCTGTCTGTCTGTCTGTCTGTCTTTCTGCACCACGCTGATCCGAAGGCAGGAGCCAGGTACTTCTCCTGGTCTCCCATGGGGTGCAGGGCCCAAGCACTTGGGCCATCCTCCACGGCACTCCCTGGCCACAGCAGAGAGCTGGCCTGGAAGAGGGGCAACCGGGACAGAATCCGGCGCCCCGACTGGGACTAGAACCTGGTGTGCCAGCGCCGCTAGGCAGAGGATTAGCCTATTAAGCCACGGCGCCAGCCAGCAGTCACCGTTTCTTGAATTATGCATACTCGTACCCACCCCCAAGCACCGGCTCCTTATTCGTCCCACATGGAAACTTCCCCACTGTTCTTTATGCAGGCAGAGTGAGTGCCCATCTGTTGATTCACTCCCCACATGTCCTGAACAGCCCAGGGCAGAGCTAGGCCAAAGGCAGGAGCTGGGAGCTCCATGTGGGTCTCCCACACTGGACCCAACTACTTGAGCCATCACTGCCGCCTCGGGCGTGCATCGGCAGGACGCAGAATCAGCAGCAGTGCTAGCACCTGACCGCAGGCATGCGACATGGAGGTGGATGTCCTGACCCAGCGTGTCGACTGCTCGGCCAGATGCCCCCACCGCTCTTTGTCCTTCATCCATTTCAAAGTGACTGCCCCTTCCTCGGAGTGGCAGTGCAACACTCAGCAGTATGTGCTTCGACACCCTAAACTGTACTTGACTACGAGCCTGTTGATGGCAGGGGACATGTTCTCTTCTCTTTTGGGCCCCCAGCGTCAGGCCTCTGGTGAATGCCCAGTGGAGGGGGAAGTGACACTGTCTTTCCCCTGCATGTTGGGTAGGGCCACCTGTGGAGTTCTGTGCCTCTCTCCTGCCCAGTTCACTGCTGCTTCCCTTCCTTACAGGGCACAGGAGCAGACAGAAGGCAGAAGGCGGCAGCTGAAGAAACGGGGACGCTGTCAGGGAAGCCCCGGCATGGTGTGTGCCCACAGCCCACAGCCCAGACTCTGGGAGGCTCCCCGAGGTGCGCTGCCCACTGAGCCCCGGAGAAGCAAATATGAATAAACACAGAAGCCACAGCTTAGGATGACTGAGCCATGGCTGAAGTTTCAACACGAACACTTTCTACAGTTTCCTGTCTGTTGTCTTTTGAAAAAAGAGTTGAAAGGCGGAGTTACAGAGACAGAGAGGGAGGAAAAGAGAGAGGGGGACACAGAGGGAGATGGATCCTGTATCTCCCTCAAATAGCCCCAACGGCCAGGTCTCAGCCAGGAGCTTCTTCTCGGTCTCCCATGTGGACGTAGGGGCCCAGCCACATGGGCGATTTTCTGTAGCTTTCCCAGGCCGCGGAGCAGCTGGGACGGGAACCACTACCCACATGGAATGGTGGCATCCCAGGCGACTTTACCTGCTATGCCACAACCTTGGCCCCTGGTGTCCACCCCCCTTTTAATATTTATTTGAAAGAGAGAGGAAGAAAGAGAATCTTCCATCCGCTGGTTTACTTCCCAAATGGCTGCAATGAACAAGGCTAGGCTAAAGCCAGGAGCCTTATCTGGTGTCCCACGTGGGTGCAGGGGCCCAGGGACTTGGGCCATCTTCTACTGCTTTCCCAGGCATGCTGGCAGGGGGCTAGATCAGAAGTGGAGCAGCTGGGACTTGAACCAGTGCGCAAATGGGATGCCGGGACTACAGGCCATGGCTTAACCCTCTGTGCCACAGCCAGCCCCATGGTGTCCCTTTTCTGAGAAACAGAGGCCTTTGATGTACAACCCAGGATATACAGGTCTCTATGGATCCACAAAGGTAATTATGGGGTCTGAGACCTATTTTCATTCTTCATAAAAGCCCAACCCAAACTGTTTTCCCATAATAAAGCTGTACAGTCTAACTAAAGCTGCAGTAATACTGGCTAGCTATCATGTGCCAGTCATAAGGAATTCTGTTAGTTTACAACTACCCAAGACCATTATTAGATTCTTTTGAAACGCGGGTTCCCTAAGTGAAAAGACAACATTGGGATCCTTGAAGACAAAGAGCGGGGATTCACAGGGTGACTCCACGAGCCTGTTGTTGGCAGGGAACAGTGTCAGGCCTCTGGTGAATGCCCAGTGAAGGTGTAAGTAACCAAGCGAGCTCAACCCTGCCTTTCCCCTGCATGTCTGGCAATCGCTCTGTGGAATTCTCCTTCAGTAACTGGGCTGTGCAGGGAAGGAATGGAGAAGGCCCCGTGCAACACCAGCAGAGATCAGTTGTTTAACCTGGGCTGGTATTTCCCTTTCACTTAGGCCTACACCAGAGTTTACAAAACAGCAGGACTGTTTCTGCTCCGTGTAAATGAGTAGCTGTGTCCTTAGCAGTGCCTAGCGAGTAGGAGTTTCATTTCAAGAACGAGTGCTGTTCTAAGCAGGGGGCTGAGACCTCTGAGCATCCTTTCTCTTGAGAACCCAGGGAAAAACAGTCCGTTCTGTGAGCTCTATTTCTGAGTCCATTAGCGCTGCTCTGACCCCCACAGCAAGAGCTGGCTAATTTTGGATAAGGAGCTGGGTAAGTGTGGTGCCTTGACACCAAGGTGTCCAATCGTGAAGACTTCAGAAGCAGAACTAAATCGACAAAGTCATCTGGCCTCATATCCTGTGTGACATTCTGAACAGATGGCCCCATCCCTTGTTTACTGACATACAAGGGTCTGAGAAAGAATTCTATCTAATTTACAGCAAATTCTGCATTTCAAGAAAAGGGAACGAACAGGTGGTGTGTATACCAAGACTCCACTTGTTTGAGTACAAAGTGAGACAGAAAAATCAGTTCATCAATGGAATTCTACCACGCAGGGGCTGTTGTATAATGAGTTTATTTAAAATAATTACATCGCAACATGCACCTTTCCACTGAGTGACTTCATGGGTCATGGCCAACATAGAACTTGGACAGGAAATCCTTTGGCCTTGGTGTTTCTGTCTCATGGAAGACCCGCATAACATGTGTCCGCTGCTTCCACACTTTGATTGTTTCTTCCAGTTCCATCTTTCCCTGCACAGATGAGGGGAGAGGCTGTCAAAGTGATAACGTTGAAGGAATACAACACTGAAGGCCAGGATTCTCTTCTGTGCTGCGTGAGCCTGGGCAAGTAACTACTCTTTCTAGAAAACAATTTTAACACCTGGAAAAATGAGGGGCTGGATGATCTCTGAGGCCTTTCAAATATTTTAAAAAAAAATTATATATATATATATTTTGAAAGGCAGAGTTACAAAGAAGCAGAGGCAGAGAGAGAAAGGTCTTCCATCTGCTGGTTCACTCCCCAAATGGCTTCAGTGGCTGGATATGGGCCAATTCAAAGCCAGGAGTTTCCGGGTCTTCCACCTGGATATGGGGGCCCAAGGACTTGGGCTATCTTCCACCGCTTTCCTAGGCATACTATCAGGGAGCTGAATCGGAAGAGGAGCAGCTGGGACACAAACGGGTGCCCATATGGGATGCCAGCATTGCAGTTGGCGGCTTTACCTGCTACGCCGCAGCATCAGCCCCTCAAATATTCTTTAACTCCATGGTTTACTTGTCTCAAGAGGAGAGACATCCAGGTTTCCAAGTCTTATAACTGCAGAACTGATGGCTTATGTTCCCATTAAACATTTTTTTCATATGTATTATCTGGGGCTGGTGCTGTGGTATAGCGGGTAAAGCTGCTGCCTGCGACACCAGCATCTCACAAGAGTTCCAGGTCAAGTCCAAGCTGCTCCATTTCTGATCCAGCTCCCTGCTAATGCACCCAGGAAAGCAATGGGAGATGGCCCAAGTGCTTGGCCCCCACACCCACGTGGGAGACCTGGATGAAGCTCCTGGCTCCTGGCTCCTGGCTTCAGAATGGCCCAGCTCTAGCTGTCGCAGCCATCTAGGGAGCGAGCCAATGAATGGAAGATAACTCTGTCTCTCCTCTCTCTCTCTGTGTAATTCTGCCTTTCAAATAAAATAATTTTTTTAAAGATTTATTTTATTTATATGACAGAAAGAGAGGTAGACAGAGGATTTGCATCCACTGGTTCATTCCCCAAATGGCTACAATGGCCAGAGCTAAGCTGATCCAAAGCCAGAATCCAGGAGCTTCTTCCAGGTCTCTCATGTGGGTGCAGGGGTCCAAGGATTTGGATCATCCTCTGCTGCTTTCCCAGGCACATTAGCAGGAAGCTGGATTGGAAGTGGAACAGCCAGGACTCAAACTGGCACCCATACAGGATGCCGGCACTTTAGGCTGCGGCTTTAACCTGCTGTGCCACAGCACTGGCCCCAAATAAAATAAACATTAAAAAAAAAAAAAAAAAGGTTGCTAAGAGTTGAAAATTGTGATAAATATGAAAAAATTATATAAATATTTAAGGTATATTTATTTGAAAGGCAGAGTTACGAAGAGAGAGAGAGAGAGAGAAGAAAGAGCTCTTTTCATCTGCTAGCTCACTCTCCAAATGGCTACAATGGCCAGGGCTGGGCCAGGCTGAACCCAGGAGCTTCTTTTGGGTCTCCTATGTGGGTGCAAGGGCCCAAGCACTTTGGCCATCCTCCATGCTTTCCTAGGAGGATTAGCAGGGAGCTGGATCAGAAGTGGAGCAATGGGACTTGAACCCGTGTCCATATGGGATGCTGGCACTGCAGATGGTGGCTTAACCCACTGTGCCACAGCACTGGCCCCAACATTTCTCTCTTCCATGTTATTTACTGGTCCGTGCTGACACTACTGTTGATGCTAATGTGACTGGCCAAGAAGAAAGAATCAGGCCCACGTTCTGAACCCATGTACATAGGACTTAGACAGCTCCCCTGCCTGCACCCAGGCAAAGCAGGAGCAGAAGGTTCAAGAGAGATCAAATTCCTCCTTCTATTGTTTCTTGGTTGTAAAATGGAAATCCCAGTGGACTTTTTCTTGAACAATCTTTTAATCTATTCAACTAGGTAATAATCTCCAAATTCAACTACTCTTTTGAAACCAAAAGCAACAGCTACTGAACCAGTAATGGCTTTTTAGTGTTCATTTAGGAGTGAAGGAGAGGCAGAGCGCACCCCTCCCCACTTGTTCATTCCCCAAATGCCTGCAACAGCTGGGGCTGGGCCAGGCCAAAGGTGGGAGCCTGGAGCTCCATCTAGAATTCCTACCTGGGTGGCAGGAATCCAAGTTTGCGTCACCCCTGCTGCCCTACAGGAAGCATATTAACAGGAAGCTGGAATGGGAGTGGACCTGGACTCAGACCCAGATACTCTGACACGGGGAGCAAGTGTCCCAAGTAGCATCCAAAGAGCTGCGTCGAGTGTGGGTTATTTACCTTAATGACCAGAAGATCAACCACCCTGGGGTCTGTAACATGTGCATTCTTCATAAACATTTCTCGGACTTTATCCCGACCCTGTTTCACGGTGATGTCTAGCTGGAATAAGTGCACTAGAGAGAAAACACGATTCAGGGTAGAAATCATATGGTTAAAACTTTTTAAAAACTTGAGTCAATGAATATTCACTGAACACATACAAGCTGCCCATTCATTCCATTCACCAAATAGCCCACCCCAAAGTTAGGTGCCTGAGGGTGTAAAGAAATGTGAGGCATGGCACTTTCTCTCACAGAGCTTTCCTATTGTCTGGGGAAACAATACGGCATTGAAGAGGCAGGAGGCTGAACAACCTGGGTTCAAATCCTAGCCCTGCCACTTACTGGACCTGATCCCATTTATTTATCAGTGAAATGAGGACAATAATACCTACTACTCCAGAGCTGTTGTGTAGTGTCTGGCATAAAATAATCTCAAAATAAATATTTTATCTTCATAGAGAATCCAAAAAAAGAAGACAACGGGGTTGGAATTAACAAAAATGATGTGGTGTAGGCTATAAGTACACACCACCTGGGGCAGAGGGACACTGCAGACGGTTACTGCAGGAGAGGAGGCTACCACTCAATAAGCAGCTGACGGCATGTAAGGTTACTTGGGGGAAGAAGTTTAAGCTGCAGCTCCAGTTCCCTGGGTCTCCAGTTCTGACTTAAGGGACAGCATGTCCTCCCTGAATGCGTCACAACACTCAGCAAGCCTGGTTAAATAAGCACCTAAAACGGTGGCACAGACTCAAGTGACCTGCATCTCTGGAGGAGGCACAGGAGTGTCCTGAAAACTGGGTGTTAGTCACTTGTATTCCCATCCCTGCCACATTCAGGCTTCAGTGGATTTGCTGGTGACAAAAAGGGCATGAAGAGGGTGTCGTGTGATAGGTAGGAGTGCCCATCCTCTCAGCTCAAGAGTCACTGTCTCTAGACAATACCCACAGCTTTGTCCTGGGCTCCCTCCTCCCATTCCAACCCCCCTGGACACACTCTTCCCCAGTGAGAAGGGCTGCAGGGAGGCAAACAAATAGCCAAGCCATAGCTTGCTGGCTTGTCTTTTGGTTTAAGTCAGTGGTTTTCAAGCCCACCATGGAAGTGCCTAGTTTTTTCTTTGCAACATGAATATTTACATTTCAATTTGAAAAAATTCTGAGAGGCTCAACAGGAAGATAAGGAAGTGTCTCTTCTGGATACCTGTGACTTTTCCAGTCCATGTGCTTTCCCAGAGTTATTAAGGATTTCTTGAACCAGGGAGGCTCTGAAAGATTAGGAGAGTCCACTGGTACAGTTCTCAGTTGTCTGCTCCAATTCATTTTGGCAGCATTCATACCAGGCAGTACTTAAAGGGGAAGGCAGGGCGGCTCAATGGAAAGGGGCCTGAGTGTCAGATAAGCGAGGGAGGGTCTCCAGACTCCAGACCCCTCTTGGGGGTACAGACTTCTCTGCTTGTTTTCTCATTGGAAACAGGAAAGAAGATCATGTCTGCCCTAACTCGTTTTCAGAAGTCTGGTGAAAACGCAAGGACAGCATACTGTAGACAAGCACAACACACGTGCTGGCTGGGAGCACACACAGCACTCCGCCCCTATAGCTCTAGTGCACTCTGGGTTTCTGTACAATATGCTGAGCAGACTCTGAGACCCCTGAAGACAGGGAGGGCTTGTGTTTCATTCACTCTGTCTCTCTCCAGGCATGTAGTACCGACCCTGCAGTACAAGAAACAGCAGTGCATGAACTGCTTCTGCAGAAGGTCTCCTTTTAAATCCACATTCAAAGGCAGTTCTGGCTCCGTCTCCCATGCCCAACAAAGTCCTGGGAAATTCAGGAAAAACTAGAGTGGAAGCTAAGAGCCAGGTACTAGAACTGCATAGGCAGGTTCTGAAGTCTACCTCTTCTACTTATTAACGGGGTGACCGGAGACAGATTTAGTGGGGCAGGGAAACAATCAGAACCCACCTTAAAATAAGGCGATGTAAAGCACTTAGGATAGTGCTGCATCGTCTGCAGGCATTCAGTAAGCATCGGGCACTGTGAGTAACTACCACCTCCTTCCGATCCTTGCTTTGGTTCCTCAGCGGGAGTGGTGGTGGCGGCACCACACCAGTGTCCAGAGGCCTGAGTAACTGAGCAGCTCCGCATCGCTGGTCTTCCCTCTACAGGGAGGGTGGCCCGCCCACCTGGCCCTTTCCTCCTCCCAAGGCCCTTCTGACTCTGGGAATTCCTTCCAAAGATCACTTGAAGGAGGGCCCTGGGAAGGGATGGTTCAGAGGGAGTTAGGGTACCTGGGTTCCCTCTTCAACCCAACCACTCAATTTTACCCTCCTGAACCCAGGTCTCCCTCCTGCCCCAAAAGGTCTGGGATGCTCATAAAGTATTCATGTTTTTAAGCGTCTGAATTGGAAGGCATCTCCCTATTTGCTGTTGTCACACACACACACACACACACAGAGTCATCCCCCTGTTCCCTGAAGGCATTTGAATGACAGTCCCTGAAAGAACAGTCCAAAATTGCTCTCTTAGTATCAGATGGATTTAAGTTTTGGTCACCAGCAATCTCTGGAAAAGAGCCTGAGAACCAGGGGCTCTGAGAACGGAAGCAGTCCTCAGGTATCAAGGTCGCGTTCTGCGCGGTCTCCGGCTAGGGTATAAGCAACAACTACAAACAGCAGCAGCAGCCAGCACTCAACTGAGCGTGCCCGGCCCTGTTCTCAGCACTTTAGACAGATCACAGGAACTCTCCGACAACCCACTATTACCCCATTCTGCAGGTCTGCAGGTGAGGAAACTTAAGCACCATCACACAGCAGGTGAAGGGCAGGGCCTGGAGGCCCTCCAAGTCCATGCTCCTCCCGCAGCCCGAGGGGGCTCCGTGCTCCAACTCGAGGACACTGTCCCTCTATCAGCAGTGGCCCGTGTTAAAGCACACTCCATCAAATCAACAGTGTAGACGGTCCCACACTCAATCAAATCAACAGTGTAGACGGTCCCTGCCATCTCTACTTCCCCGCTCAGTGTCGATGGGATTTCCCTAACCTTTCCAGTCCGGTGGGCAGGACTGAGGGGGACGCCAAGGTTCCGGACTCTCCGCTCTCGGAGATTACTTACTAATACCAGCCGACGGGTGCTCCGGCATTTGAGCACTGGGAGGCGTTCTGGGATGGTAGGTGCCGGGGCAGGTGCACCCAGGGAGCTGCGCTTCGAAGACTGCGGGGAAGGGGCTGGCTGACTGGATGACCTTGGGAAAGTCACTCCCTGCTCTGGTTCCGTTTCTTTTTCCGTGGTAGGTGTGGGCGCTGGACGCTCGGCCGCTTTGGTGATAAAACCTCACGGGAGCTGACTTCGGGGTCCAGAGGCGCCAGAGGCCAGCTGTGGGCCCCGCGGTGCCTGCCCTTCCTCCCTGGGCTTCAGGAAGAACCACGGGGGACAAGAGACCAAAGCACGCCTACGAGGGCTGTACGGAGACTGGGCACGGCCGCTCGGGCCGCCGCCAGGTCGGGTTCACCATACGCTCGGGCGAGCCACTGCCCCCGAGGCACCTGAGTCGCCTCTGCCCAAGCCGGTGACCTCAGCTCGGCCGGTGGGAAATCCGGCCGCGGCCGGCCGCGACCTTGGGCACCTGCCTCTGGGAGCCCCGCGTGCGCCGCCGCCTCTCACCCGTGTTCGGCACCTCCCGATACCAGGCGCGGTAGAGCTCGCGCACTCTCCGCTTGGCTTCGTTCATGTCCCGACTGAAGATGGGCTTCACAGAGGCGCTGGCCGCAGCGGCGGCGGCAGCCCGAGTGAGGCCGCTCGCCGCCATCTTGCGAAGGCAATCACCTCAACTCCACCCGCTTCTCGACCTGCGCGTGCGGCTCTGAGACGAACCTCTTTTCTCATTGGCTGCAACGGCGCGCCACGCCCCTGCGCGTCATGAGTGGGCGGGAGGACCTCTCCGAGGCTTTCTGATTGGCTGGAGAGCCACCCGGGGCGGGACAGGAACTGCTGGTGGGGGTTGCCCGTCTCGGCTGTCGGGCTCCCTAGCGGTGGCTGTGAGGCAGGCCGCTGGGCGGCGGGCCGCTGGGCGGCGGGCCGCTGGGCGGCGGGGCTTCGGCGCTGTGGCGGAGCCTCTGTCCAAGTCTTGCCCAGGCCCACTTTTCCTCCGCGCTGGCTGGTTAGAGCCCGTTGGCGCGAGGCTCCGGACAGGTTTTTCAGTCAGGTCCTGGGACGCGGGCCCCAGGCGATGACTGAGGTAGATGCCGGGCGCCGGCCCTGTCCCTCAGCGGCGTTTCTTCAGCAGCCGGACTCTTTTTTTGTTTTGTTTTTTCTTTCTATAAACCAACTCTTCCTGTCTGCGGTCTGGACAGTAGCGCCCTTTCCTTACCGTTGGCTTTTGGCGCTTCTCCACAGCGCAGGGAGGTGGGCTGTACCTCTGCCGCCTTTCAGTCAAGGACGTTTGCAGCCCAAACCCTGGGTCTCTGGGAGAAGCAACCCAGAACCGTGCAGCTGGACGGAAGCTTGGATGGAGCGACCATCCTGGGCATCTCTTTCTTTGCTGGGCTTTGCCCACGGGCGTTACTGCTGCACACCAAAGACAGCCTCGAGGGGAGAGGAAGAAGTAACAGCTGAGGGCGTCCGCGGGGCCAGGCAGGGCCCAGCATCCCACGGTACGGCTGAGGAGACCGCGGCTGCAGCCTCACGGTCTCTGGCCGCCTTAGGTCGCCCCTGCCGGACTCCTGCCTGGGGGTCTTTGTCGCTCCCTTGCAAAGGGCCAAGGGCTGGGGCTGGCCTCAGCTTTGGGACCCTGCGTGCGGGATATGGCCCTGAATCCAGCCTTTTCCATTTTAAAGGATTGGATGACCTCCCACTCTCTTAGTATCTTTTGAAAAGTATTTGCTAAAAAAAAAAAAAAGTATTCTTTGTATACTTAAGTGAGTTCTACAAAGAAAGCGTGTACACGTGGGCCATATCACTTGTTTGGGTCCCAGGAGGAGAATGGAGCCGAAAAATGCCCGTGGCTGCGAGGTCTCAGCTGTCACTGCCTTAGCAGGATGCCTTACTCGGGCGCTTGTGGTGGTGCTGGTGTGACCAGACCTATCATGCTCTCAGTCGTCTAAGAGCATAGCACATATGAGACGTGCAGAACATACTATTTGATAAGTGTTAATAAGTGTTACTGGTTTGTGTGCTCACTATACCCCTTCTACTTTTTTCTTCTTCTTTTTTTTTTTTTTTTTAATTGTGAAACAGGCTCAGGCAGATCCTTCAGGAAGAGTTCAAAAGAAGCCGTCGTCACATGCTCCGTGCATGTTATTGGTTCTGAAGACCTTCCAGTGGGACAAGACGGGGAGGTAGGAGTCGGTGATTATTGCTGAGCGTGACCCTGTGTAGGCCTAGGCTAATATCTGTGTTTGTGCCTTAGGTTTCAACAAAAAAAGTTTTAAACAGTGTTAAAGATAGAAAAAAAGATGGGGCCTGCGCTGTGGTGCAGCAAGTTAACGCCCTGGCCTGAAGCCCCGGCATCCCATATGGATGCTGGTTTGAGACCTGGCTGCTCCACTTCTTATTCAGCTCTCTGCTGTGGCCTGGGAGGGCAGTAGAGGATGGCCCAGGTGCTTGGGCACCTGCACCCACGTGGAGGCTCGGGGAGGCTCCTGGCTCCTGGCTTTGGATTGGCGCAGCTCTGGCCATTGTGGCCAATTGGGGAGTGAACCAGTGGATGGAAGACCTCTCTCTCTGCCTCTCCTTCTCTCTGTATGTAACTCTGACTTTCAAATAAACAAAATATTAAAAAAAGAAAGACTCTCTAGTAGAGTTGGAACACAGCTCACCTTTCCTAATTGGCAAATGATCAGACTAATGTGCCGATGTTGTTTCTTACATGCTGAGTCAGATGTCAACTCTTATCCTCTACAGTTGTGTAACTGACGTTGGAGGACAGTGTAAGCATTCAAGTGGAAAGTAGGAATTTTGATTGCTCTAATTTTAGAAATTATATCCCTAATAGTTATCTGAAAAACATGAATTCTGGATGTGAATGATACATGAGACTAGTATATTTTTAAATAGGGAAAACTAATTTTGTGCAGTTATACAATATATTTGTGTTTTAAGCTAAGTGCTTTTACAAAAGAGTAAAAAAGTTGTAAAATGTAAAGGTTAAAAAGTGAAAAAGAATAAGCAAGGCTGCTGCTCCTCCGCACGCGGAGGAGCCGCACCGGACCGGATGCTTGTTGTTCCCCTTTTTTACAAGTCTTTTCTATAGTAAAGTAAGAATAAGTAAACAGCGAACTCCCAAAGCAAGAATGAGTAGAGAGAAATGAGAAAGAACGAAGCAACGAACTTCCCCGCGAACTCTCCAACGCACTCTCCAACCAACCCACACCACCATGCCGTCTCTCTCCTCCTATATAGTCCTCTCCACCAATCCATGCTCTGCTACCCACACGCTGAGCACGCTACTCTCCTCCAATCAGGAGCAGCTCCTGCAGCTTGTCAAGTTGGTGAGAGGCAGCTGGGTAGAAGCTGTTTGCTCCTCTCCCAGCGCCATATTGTGGGAGAGCAGATGTATAGAATAAGTCTTTTTTTTTTTTTTTGACAGGCAGAGTGGACAGTGAGAGAGAGAGACAGAGAGAGAAAGGTCTTCCTTTGCCGTTGGTTCACCCTCCAATGGCCGCCGCTGCAGCCGGCGCACCGTGCTGATCCGATGGCAGGAGCCAGGATCCAGGTGCTTTTCCTGGTCTCCCATGGGGTGCAGGGCCCAAGCACCTGGGCCATCCTCCACTGCACTCCCTGGCCATAGCAGAGAGCTGGCCTGGAAGAGGGGCAACCGGGACAGAATCCGGTGCCCCGACCGGGACTAGAACCCGGTGTGCCGGCGCCGCAAGGTGGAGGATTAGCCTATTGAGCCATGGCGCCGGCCTAGAATAAGTCTTAATTCCAGTAACAGTATAGTCCGAGTTGCTCCCCACACAAGGCCAGGGCATTAACTTGCTCTGCCACAGCGCCGGCCCCTGTAACTCTTGTCTTTCAAATAAATAAAATAAATCTTTTTTTTTTTTTAAAGAAAAGTTAAACTTAGAGTGTACCATGTCCCTGGTAGCCACTGCTTTAAATTCTTTAGGCCCACTGCCTAGGCCTTACAACTCATCCATGAAATAACTCCCAGAGCTGACATAGACAGTTACTTGATAGCTTTGGGTTCGTACCTAAGGTTATTGGCTCTAAAGTCTGTTCTCTGCTTTTCACAGCACCTCTATGATGCTATCTACCTGTATAATTTTAAGTTGATCTGTGATCCTGCCTCCTCCAGAAGTAATCACCATCATGATTTTAAAAAATGGCTTCTAAAACCTCCCACAAACTAGAGGAAAATATTTGCAAATCATATATTCAATAAAGAATTTGTATCTAGAATATGTAGACTCTTATAACTCAATTATATAAAAAGGCAAATAGTCTAAAATGGAGAGAGGCAATCATTTAGCCTAGTGGTTGAGGTAACCACATCAGAGGGGCTGAGTTTGTTTCCTGGCTCCAGCTTCCTGAATGCAGCTTCCCACTAATGTAGACCCTTGGAGGCAGCAGGTGATGGTTAAAATAATTGGGTCTCTGCCACCCACATGGGTAGATTGCATTCCCAACTCCTGGCTTCAAGCCTGACCCAAACCTAGCTATTACGGGCATTTTTGGCGAGTGAACCAGCAGAAAGAGCTTCTCTGTCTCATTTCTTTGGCTCTTTCTCTTTCTCTCTCTCTCTCTCTCTCTCTCTCAAGAAATGGGCAGAGAGGCTGGCACTGTGGCAGAGTAGGCTAAGCCCCCACCTGCAGCACTGGCATCCCCTATAGGTGCCAGTTCATGTCCTGGCTACTCCTCTTCCAGTCCAGCTTTCTGTTTGTGGCCTGGGAAAGCAGTGGAAGATGGCCCAAGTGCTTGGGCCCCTGCACCCACTTGGGAGATCTAGAAGCAGCTCCTTCTGGCTTCGGACTGGCTCAGCTCCAGCTGTTGTAGCCATCTGAAGAGTGAACCAACACATGGAAGACCTCTCTCTCTGTCTCTCCCTGTCTCTGTAACTCTGCCTCTCAAATAAATAAAATCTTTAAAAAAAAGTACAGCAATGACAATACCAGATGCTGGTGAGTATGTGGATCAACAGGAACTCTCATTACTGGTGGACCTGTAAAATAGCATTCTGAAATCCATGTGTAGTTTTTTTTTTCATGCTACATATTTTCCAAGAATTTTTTGAAACCCCCTCATAGTACACCTTTTCTGTGTTTAAGATAATTTAGATTCACTTGTATAAAAACTAATAGAGAGTGGGCCGGTGCTGTGGCGCAGTGGGTTAACACCCTGGCCTGAAGCGCCTGCATCCCATTTGGGCGCTGGTTTGAGACCCGGCCGCTCCACTTCCAATCCAGCTCTCTGCTGTGGACTGGGAAAGCAGTAGAAGATGGCCCGAGTGCTTGGGCCCCTGCACCCATGTGGGAGACCCAGAAGAAGCTCCTGGCTCCTGCCTTTGGATTGGCGCAGCTCCAGACGTTGCAGCCAATTGGGGAGTGAACCATTGGATGGAAGACCTCTCTCTCTCTCTGCCTCTCCTCTCTCTGTGTAACTCTGACTTTCAAATAAACAAATTAAAAAAAAAAAAAACAACTAATACAGAAAGGAGAGGTATACCTTTACCTAATTTTTCTCAATGAAAACATCCTGTAAAACTAGTACAATATCACAACCAGGATGTTTACATTGATATGATCAAGATGCAGAACATTTCCATTACCATAAGAATCCTACATGGGGCTGGTGCTGTGGTGAAGCAGGTTAAAGCCCTGGCCTGATTGGAGGGTGAACCAACGGCAAAAAGGAAGACCTTTCTCTCTCTCTCTCTCTCTCTCACTGTCCACTCTGCCTGTCAAAAAAAAAAAAAAAAAAAAGCCCTGGCCTGAAGAGCTGGCATCCCATATGGGTGCCGGTTCAAGTCTTGGCTGCTCCTCTTCCAATCCAGCTCTCTGCTATGGCCTGGGAAAGCAGTGGAAGATGGCCCAAGCCCTTGTGCCCCTGCACCCACATGGGAGACCCGGAAGAAGCTCCTGGTTCCTGGCTTCAGATCGGCACAGCTCCAGCCATTGTGGCCATCTGGGGAATGAACCAGTGGATGGAAGACTTCTCTCTGTCTCTATCTCTCTCTGTAACTCTGTCTTTCAAATAAATAAACATAAATCTTTTAAAAAAATAATCCTACATGTTGTCTCTTCCTCTCCCCTATCTTATTCTCTGACAAGGAACTCTATTTCTATAATTCTGTCATTTCAAGAATGTTAGGTAAATAAAATCTTACAGTATAAGCCTTTTGGATAAACTTTTTCCCCACTCAGTATAATATTTTTAAGATTCATTCAGGTTGTTACATGCCTTGATTATTCCTTTTTATTTCTGAATAGCATTCCATGGTATGAATGTACCACAGTTTAGTCATTCACTCCTTGAAAGACATCCAAGTTGTTTCAATTTTTGCTATTATATATAAACTGTAAACATTTGTATATGTTTTTTGTGTCAACTTAAGTCTTCATTTCTCTAATGCTGGGAAAAATGATTGTTATATATTTAGTTATTTAAGAAATTGCCAGATTGTTTTCCAGAGTGACTGTACCATTTTACATTCCCATCAGCAATATATGAGTAATTCAAATTCTCCACATCCTCCTCAACATTTAATGCACTGACTTATTTTAACCATTCTGGTAGGTGTATAGGGATGCCCCATTATAGTTTTAATTTACATTTCCATTGTGGTTGGTTCCTTAGTTCATTATTATTACAGATTGTGTAATTTATAAATAATAGATACTTATTTGGCTCACAATTCTGGAGCCTGAGAAGTCTAAGAGCATAGTGCTGGCATCTGGTGAAAGCCTTCGTACTGTGTCATCCCATGGTGAAAGACAAAAGGGCAAGAGAATACGAAACAGAAAAGGGGGGGCCAAAATTGCCCTTTTAGCAGGTACTGACTCCCACAAAAACCAGCTCATTCCTGGGATAACAGCTTTCATCTGTTCATTATGGCAGAACCCTCATGGGTCTTATCACTTCTTAAAGGTCCCACCTCTCCATACCATTGCTTTGGGATTCAATTTCCAACACATAACTTTGGGGGACATATTCAAACCATAGAAGCTAGTGACATTGAAACTGAACATCCTTTTTATTTTAAAAAATTTCTCTTTTAAAAATATTATTTGAGGCCGGCGCTGCGGCTCACTAGGCTAATCCTCCGCCTTGCAGCGCCGGCACACCGGGTTCTAGTCCCGGTCAGGGCGCCGGATTCTGTCCTGGTTGCCCCTCTTCC